CCAAGTTTGTAAGTGAAATTGCCAGTTGATAAAATCACTATCTAACTCTGGAAGTTTATATATATGTATATATATACACACATATATGAAAAATAAATATGCATATAAATATAGGAAATAGAGTAAATATAAATACAGTAAACACAGTACTATAGTAAATATAATACAGATACTTTTATATATATATGTATATGGGTATATACGTATGTATGTGTGTATAAAAGTAAAATTAGAAGTAAAAGACAGAACCAATAAATACTGCCTGGAAAAAAAGTAGCATTCCTGTGCATTCAACTGTTCTGAATGCGTGTTAAGACTGTTGTCTGCTGGGGAGGAAGGAAGGGGGAACTCCTTTAGCTATTGCCAGTAAAACATACTCTGTCTCTGTCAGGTTTATGTTAAGCCAGTCAGTCTGAAAAGTCTCTTTTCCACAATGAAACACCTGAAGTGTGCTTTTCACAGCAGTGCAGTTTTAGCTTGTTATGGTACTTCTGTAGTGTTCTACTGATCACATCTATTCCTAATGTCTAGACAGCATTTTTACAAAACTTACCACCATAGGTTAAAAAGTCCTTTCCTTCTTTGGGTTTATTTGGTCAAAAATTAATCACTAACCCTGATTTTTCAATTGATTTGTTTCTTCAACAAAAGCTCTTTGTTTCAGGATCTTTAGGACAACATACATTTCCCACCAGAGCAGGTGAAAGTCCATCTCCCATTGGCTTACAACAGGATTGAAAGAACTAAACTAATTTATACTTCTGAGAGGTGGGTGGTCTATAGGAATGGGGAAGATACCAATCCCTCTGTGACACTGACCAAAATCCTAATTTGAGACAAGCTGGACGCTAAGTATTTTGCGCTCTGTCTTTTATGAAAGTCAGTTTCCTTCAATTCTCTTCCTGGAAAAACAGACTTCTGCCACAGGAAGTGCTGCTGTATCCTTACTGACAACTTCAGAGGGACCACAGGCAGACTGATACGTTCACATCCTGGGGCAGCTTGCTGTGCTGCACCTGACCTATGTGTGGGTTGCAGGCAAGCATGAGGGAAAGGTCCTCTCCAGAAGCTTCATCTGGCAGGGAGGTTCTGTAAGGCAGCACACACCTTTGGCACCGTCTGCTAGGGGCACCATTCCATGAAGGGTGTCTGAGATGCTTTGCCCATCTTCTCCCTGCACTGCTATGTGTTAGGTATCAAAGAGGTGTCGGCCATCCACACAGAGGTTCTCTTGTGTCCTGCAGGTAAGCCTCTGCAATGTAGCTGGCTACTCATTTACTGAAGAACAGCCTTTAATATTGACAAAGATGGCTCCTCTTTGACGTTGCCGGAAAGTTTTGAGTGTGTGTTGTGTAGGACGAGTAAATCCTTTTTCCTTTCCTTTTTCAGGCTTATGAGAGTAATCAGAAGCAGACGTGACAGATATTCAGCAGAGTGTATTTGAGCTGACTTAATTAACTTGCTGGATTCATACGCATTGGTGTAATTGAACTGTGGCTCTCTGTTGTACTGTTACACTTCGGCTTGTTTCCAAAAATGGTAGGAGTTTCAGTAATGAGTAGCTGAAACCATGAAGTGAGTATTCACTTCAGAAGTCTTAACTAGGAGCACAGAACATTTTTCTCTTCAATTATGGCACTCTTTGTGGCTGCAGACCTTCTTCTCTCTGCAGAAAGGTAGTTGGCTGGTACTGTCCAGCCTTCTGAACCTTCTGCAGCGCTGGCTCATGCCCATCATGCTTGGTCTCATGAATCAATTTATCACAAGCAAGTGCAAAAATTGTTCTGAATATCAAAAAAAATGGCTCACTGTATTTTCTACGAGTCAGTAAAATAGTACTGAGAAAAAGAAGCCAAGAAGATTAAAATTAATAATACTCTAAAAATCAGATTCTCTTGGTGACACTGTTCCTTACGAGGCACAGAGCTGCTATTTTAGTTTAATATTTAAAGACCACACTCTTCTGAATTTCTCTTAAGTACAGTGTATTTTCTTTTCCATAACAGAATTAACCTAATGTAATGTTATTCTTCATATCTACTTAAGCTCAGGAAGCGTGAGGTTTTGTATTTCAGCAGTGAAGAAAAATGGTTCAGTAGGTGTGTAAGGTATAGGATAGCAGGGGAAAAAATGATAAGAGTTCAGTAATACGTTTTTTGCCTTCTGAAAGGTTGGCATTGTAGCCAGCATGCCACAGAGGCCTCTCTTTGGAAAGCTGTACGCCTTGGTTTATCTTAAAACCACTTTTTGTTGCTGTGTTGGGGTGCTGGTATTTATGGGGTGGTTTTGTTTACTTGGCTTTTGGTGAGCTGCCGCCTTCTTGGTTTTGTTTTTTGGTGTGCTGCTGCCATAGTAAGTTGAGTTGTAGCCTCTGTTCAATACGGAACTGGAAGGGGAGAGAGGTTGGTTCCCCAGCAGAGCTGTTGTTTTTTTTCTATGGGGTTGAGGCACTTTCTTTGAGCAGCATGCTCTCATTGCAGAATGAAGGGCTTCAGAATTTTTTTCTTCAAGAGCTGATTAAATCAACATTCCTGACAAACATCATCATTTCACTCATTCAGCATTTTCCAGTGGAAAACTACTGCATCAGAAATTTAAACCAGATCCGGTAACCGGGAACACAGATACTGCCAGGCTTGTTTTGAGTTGTTTTTTTTTCTAGTAACTTCAGAGGGATATTTAAACACAACTGCTCTCGTTTCTGTTTAAGTCCTTCTGTTCTTTTGAATGATGAACTGACTTAATGAAAGACTGAATGATTGAGGTGTCGATGCCAGAGCGTTCAAGGAAATAATGCACAAATCCAGGCAGAAGGTTTGTAACTCCCACCACAGACAAGATGAGGAAAAGAATGTGGCATTTACCAACACTGGCAATTTGATTTTATTACTGTTTGAAAATAAACTGTGATTGTGGAGGTTATTTGACCATTTGATGCATGTTTTTCAGCAGGCTTAGCTTTAAGCTGTATTCTAAATGTGTTTGCAAATGAAGTGAATTCAAGCAGGAAAAAGTCAGTCAGCGCTAAGGGACTGTGTGTCAGAATGTGTTGCTCTTACCCATATATTTTCTAGGGAATTTTACTGATTGGTGTTTGGGGATTTCTTTTAAAACCAACTGCATTAACTCTACTTTGAGTTCATTTCCAGAAGAAGAAATCAAGCAGAGTGAGTGCAGCAACAGCTTAAAGTTGCGGACATTCAGGAAACCAATTCATTCCAGAAAAACAAAATCTGGTGAAAATGGGGTTTTATGAAGTTTTGGAAAGTCAAATTTAGAAATTGCATGCAGGTAAAAGCTCTTTAGGCTTTAGCTTAATGGTCTGTATAATGGGAAACATTCAGTCTGCTTTAGAGCTTACCCCTCTGGTGTTTCCAAACATGTCCCTGTTCTGCCAACACTTCATGGGTGTTTAAAGTTTAACAGAAGAAGTATCCCATATGTCTGACGTGGGAAATAACACAACACTGATTTGAAGGAGTCCTGGGCTAGAAAAGAATTATTTCCACATGAAGTTGAAACTAGTTCCATGTAAACCCATGTATAGAGGTCAAGGTGGCTTAGGGACTGTTAATGTTTTGATAAAAATGTGAAATACAACAAGCAGTCCTCAGAACCACAGGGTCTCCCCTGCTCCACTGTCGCAGCATGCAGCTCGTATGATTTTAATCTATCCTGCAGTACAAAGGTGAACAATTTACTATTTTCTGACTTAGCATGGGTTGCAATACTGATGCCACATCACAGAAGTACAAACTACAGTTAATTAGAGAGAGAGAGAGTGGTGGATGCTAGCACTGCATCACTAGCAGTTGAGTGACACTGCTAGAATACAGCCCGGAGTCTCTCAGGCAGGAGGAAGCAGCTAGAGATGTCATGGATTCAGGAAGCAGGACGACTAAAAATACAAGTAAAGTTTGTTTGATCGTCTTCCCTCTGATGCAGCTGTTGGCTGGTTTCCTCTTGTTCCATAAAAAGTCTTAAGAAAATCAAGACCACTGTGACATTCATTCTTAGTTTATTAAGTTGAAATCCTTTTCCAGGAGACAATAGACGTGGCTGTTTCCACAGTATTAAGCTAGAAGCTGATACTTCAGGGTTCCTGTTTCCTCTCTGCTCATTTTAGGTTTTGCAGCATTTGGCAAAGCAGCAAACCCTGGGTTTTTTTGAGCACAACAGCAATGGATGACCTTAAAAATGCCAGTACCTTTGGGGCTGCTATTCGTAGTACCTAGTAAAGCTGAAAGTGACATCAGCAACACTACTTTCCTGCAGTAGCTTGTTCTGAAGCATGGGCTTGTTTTGACTACTGCTTAGCAGTACTATGTTCCACTCTTTCCTTCTCTAAGCATGTCTCAGCATTTTGCCTGCATGCTGCTGCTTTGTCCTTTCCTGTTGTGTTTTGCCATTCTGTCTTGCTACTTTGCACCCACCAGTCCCATGCAATCCGTCATTTTACTTTCTGTCCCTTAACAGGCCTTGCAAACAAGCAGCTACGTTCATATTCACAGTTCTGCTCCGTCTAGTAGTTCTCATATTACCTATTAATCAGTCAGTGCATCCATCTCCTGTATTTATTGTTCTGTATCTTCTTTCATATGTGTTATAACAAGGGAAGGACTCTGTCCTCTTGCTTTGTGTAAATAGTATGCACAAAATATTTAATATTGTCTTGCTTTAAAATATATAAGCTCACACTGTCCAGAGAAGTAGCTTTTTGGCCATGGGTTTATATAGGAATAATGACTGGAACTGCAACATTTTGCTCTGGAAACTCTGACAACTGGTTCCTGGCCTCTAATAAAAGGGTATTTTTATATTCTTTGTATTGTGCACCATAGAAGAGTTAGTCATATGTAGATTATCTGACATTTGTGCGAGTACTTTTCCCATTCACATGTCAAAGAGTGACTGTGAGCTTTTTTATTCTTCTGATCCAGCTGGAGGGAAGTTAAGTGAGTAAAAGAGAAGTTAACCTTTGTTCCTGTGTTTCCATGCAGACTTCATCTTTTAGAGATACCTCCTTTCCATACAGAACTCAGTTACCATGTGTGGTGCCAACCTCAGCATTGAGCAGTAGCGAGTACAGCCCGGAATCTAAAATGCTGGATTACGTGCAAGAGCTGGACTCTTCCTTCCATCCAGTCCTATCATTCCCTTCAGGTAAGTAACCCAAACTCCATGCCTCCACAGAGGGCTGGGTGCTTGTGAGAGCTGTGCAGGCTGTGGACTAACTTTCCTTTGGAGTGGTTTTTAATAGTTCTTACAGAAAACTTCCTACTGGCAGAACACACGTGTTTAGGCTGAAGGAAAATCGTAGTTTCACACTGATATTTGAAAAACACATCTGAATTTTCCATACCAGTAAGGCACTTGCAGCTAAGAAAGTGTGGTCTGGGAAGAATTTGGGCTTCTTTGTGCTAAGTTTCACAGTGTGTCCACTCCAAGTCAGTGGCAATCCCTTGAATGGTGCTATTCCCACACATCTTGGTTCTGTTGCTTCGTGGGCAGCTTTTAGCTCAGGCCCTTTGCACTAGGCTCAGAAAGTTTTTGTAGTTCTTGTGATTGTTTTAGTGATAACCAGCCTTATGGTGGTTGCTGATGTTAATGATTTCTGACATCTGATTCTTTAAATCTTCTTGAACAATAATGCAGATGTTGACTCTGTCTCTTCCTTGCTCTGAAAGTGCAACTTGCACTTCCAAATTACCACATCAAGTGCTGTTGTCTGCAGAAGGGATTCATACTATTGAATTTTTTCTTTCTTTGTGATTTTTTTTTTTTTTTTTTTTGGATTTTAGACAAAACCTTTTTACTGAGCAGTATGGGAACCCTGCTGTAACGAGGGCTTCTTTGCCACTAAATAATCCCTGCAGAGGAGAGCTGTCCCCGCATGCTTCCTGGGTCACTCGGTGCCAGTTTTTCTACCTAATCAAGTTGTTTCCTTGCTTCAGCTTCTGAGCAAGGACTGCTGATCACAGCACATGTTTTGAGAGGCATTTGTCAGTGTTTCTTTAAATATCTGTTCAGGGATAGTTGTATAAGGCTGTGCCCCTTGCCTTCATTCTTGCCTTAGTCTTAAGGGAGACTAGGAAGTTTGACAGGAATGCTGGAAATCTATCAGAAAAGAAAACCAACTCTAATCATCATGAAAATAAAAGAAACTGAAAGGCTGTTGATTGCCTTGTGGATACTGTAGGTCATTTTGCCAGAATGAAGGAAGAAAAATGTTATTGTGATACTAAGGGCATCTTTCTTTTGAGGAATATTTATCCTCTTTTTCCAGGAACCTTAGCCTTGCTAATAATAGATAAGGCAGGATAAGAGTGCTGGACTGCTGTGTGCTGCTTGGACACACTCCTTGCTTTTGAGGGAGCGTGGATTCCTGCTCTGGATCACGCTCTGTTCACTTTGCTGTCTTTTCCTTGTCAAGAGGACTGTTAGTTATTTGTCATTCTCTTTTCTATCAAGTAATGGTGAGTGAGCGTATGCTAGAAATTTTCCAGTTTGATCAGGCAGTGTGATTCACTTTCGTGTCTTCTTTGCAGCTTCCTTAGTTAACCCTTTCCAGAAGGATAACTTCTCTCAAAATACAACTCCTGGTATCCCCACATCTTCTATCACTTTCTTCTGAATAAAATAAGTTTGTCAACAAAGCAGAAAAAAAGGCTTTCTTTTTAATTTCCTCTGTGTGTTAGAAAATAACGTTTGGTGTTGTCGTATTCTGAAGCTCTGAGGATTAGGTTTTTCAGCGTGTGATGATGGATTCAGTATAGAATTCAGATATTGTTCTTGTACCTATTTTTTTATTTGTATTTTTTAATTTCAAAGGAGAATCATTATTTGCAGGCGAGGTGATAGAACTGTGCAATTAGACTTGCTTGCTTCAGGAAATATAATGATATCATGGATCCAAGTCTTAAGAGATTCCATATTACAGAGGGTCTTTCATGAAAAAGTGCAGGTGATTGCATCATACCTTGAGCATGAAAGTGGTTTTCAAGCTTACGCTTTCAAGGACGGAACTTTGTAGGTTTTATCTAAGGCACTGGGCCTGGTGCTTTAGCACCTAGTTTGTGGTTAATCTGGAACAAATGCTGTTGCCATTTTAATTAAGGGACAGGAGCACGTAATCTGAGACAGTGAGGTTGTTCGTCAAGAATCACAGAATCACAGAATTGTAGGGGTTGGAAGGGACCTCCAGAGATCATCGAGTCCAACCCCCCTGCCAAAGCAGGTTCCCTACACAGGTAGGCATCCAGGCAGGTCTTGAACATCTCCAGAGAAGGAGACTCCACCACCTCCCTGGGCAGCCTGTTCCAGTGAAGAAGAAATCAAGAGAACTTTGGTGGTTTTTTTTCCTTTACATGAATGTCATGACTAATAAACTTTTCAGACCTTCTTTACCTTTTTTCAGAGGTAGAAAAGGAAATGTGCCAAAAACCTTGAGGGGAAGAAGACCTTTTGCAGGTCAGCTTTGATCTTGAGACTAAATACCTACTTAGATCAGTTTCAAATTGAAATAATTTGTTCTTTTTAGTTAGCAAAATACATTGAAAGGTTCTGTCCTGGCAAGTCCTCAAGGCACATGAGGCCGTGGTCGTATGTAAATAAAAATAATTTAATGCCCACCCTGTGGCCCCGTACTCAGTCCTCTGAATGTAACAGTTGTCAAGCCTGCTTCTTATGTTGACATATTTCTTTCTACTTAATTTCTCTTTTTTCTTTTTATTTCCAGAAAGTCTTTTCTTATAGTGACCTATTTTTCTTAAGCCTTCCTGTCTTAACAACAGTGGCTAAATTCCTTACCACTTGAGATGTTTTGCAGACTAATTCTTGGTTAGAACTCCCTCAGGAAATGAATTATATTTCCTGCTATAGCCTTTGCCAGAGAGGGAAAGAAGGAATGTATCTTGAAATTACCTCTAAGCTCTCAGCAGTAGCAATTTTGAAAAGTGTTAATTACTTGTACCCAAAAGGCTGAACCAAAAGCCTTGTAGATTATAGGGAAAGTGCCCTGTGTGCTCTTTATCGTGCTGGGCTCAGTACAGAAGCTAGTCAAGAGGGGAGGACCTCAGTCTTTCTCTCCTTTTATCCTCCAGAGCTTGTTTTCATGAAGATCAATTCTGGAGTTGTGGCAGGTACAGACACAGTTTATTCCAGAGTAATACAACCTTGAATTTTCTACTTTGCCACTGAAGACTAAAGAAGCTAAGCTGTGAATCTACAGAGTGTCCACACTGTGATTTGTTGAGGAGCATCAGTTAAATTTAAGTCCTACCTGGATTTTAATTGCCTTACTGGTCCTTAAAAGCTCACAGTGCAGGAGGGCTTGGAACCACTCAAGCATAATGCCTTTGTTGGCACAGGTTGCAGTGCCAAGCTAAACTTTGACTTGTTTCTACCATAGTACAACTCATTTTCTACTAGCAGAAAGAAAGGTACCTTCACGTCTTACCTCTCAGCAATTACAGGAGATTATCTTAGAATCACAGAATGGTTTGTGTGGGAAGGGACCTTAAAGCCCATCCAGTTCCAAACAGCTGTACGGAGCAGCTCGGGCTGCCCAGGCCCCATCCAGCCTGGCCTTGGGCACCTCCAGGGATGGGGCACCCACAGCTCTCTGGGCAGCAGTGCCTCCCCGCCCATCTGATGTCGTACTTGTTTTAGATGCACACGTGCAATAATTGCTGAGAGTTACCTTCCCTGCAATTTCTTGTTTATGTATGTGAAAGTCACACCTTTGAAATGTCTGGCTGGGATGTGGTCATCAGGTTTTCCTTTGGGCTTTTCCCGGTTTCAGATGTTCACCTAGATTGTGTCCATATTGACAGTGTCAAGATACTGCAGATGCTGTAGTGAGCAGATCTCAGAGCTGTGCCATTTCATGAGTCACAGGACTCAAGACAAAGATGATATGATACAGTGTCGTGTAAATTGATTCCTAGACCTCTAGTGATGACACATATTTCATTATTTCACGGGTTACCATCTAAACCTTGTTTTGTTTGGATTGTTTATTTTAGATATTCCTCTTCACATATACTTTGAAACATTATTAAGGAAGGATGACGTCAAGGGAGAACCTGTTGATGCCTCGTATCCTGGAGTGGAGTTTAAAATAGCTCCAGAAAATGGTACGTAAGGCAAAATAGTGTAATGTTTGCAAGACTGTTTTTCATTAGTTTGTCCCAAAAACATTCAATTTGTAAATTTTGCAAAGGCAGTTATCAGAGAAGGTAACTGGCCAGGGATTTTGGTGGAAGAGGAATCTCTAGAACACAGGTACTGCAGTTACGCTGAAGCAATCCCATCAGGAGGGCACCAGCACAGTGCAGGGAGTTTGGAGTACAAGTTCTCTGCAAACACAGGTGCCCCACCGCAGTGTTTTCAATGTTTGGATCCTTACCTGAAGTTTGCCTTTTCCGCTGTAAATAGTTCACCAGCATTGCCTGGAACTGCAGCCATGGAGAATAAGTTCACTTGATATTTGCTTTTTCTGTTGTAGACTATAACCATCATAATGTTGCTCTCAAACGATGGAACAATAGCTGTTTATCTAATTCCAAATCTCAATCAGTGTCAGGAACATCTGAGCAGCTGTCGGAAGGAAGAAAGAAAAGACATCTAAGTGAGACAGCAGTGGGTAAGAGAAAAACTGTTGTTTAAGGCACTTCTGTTTGTTCAAGAGTATGTACTTATAAATGAGTTTGTCATTGGGCTTTTGTGAACAAATTCTGAGGTGTCTCCAAAAAGGGAAGTATTGAAAAACTCTTCAGGAGTAAAGGAATAGACTTAAAATGCCAGGAAAAGTAATGTGCTATTGTAAAGCATCATAATCCTTCTCCTTTTTTCTTCAGTGTGCATTGCAAAAGGAGGCAAGCTTCTGTATTTCATTTTTAGAATGCTCTTTAGGGAAGCTGCTTAGCAGTCCCACTGTGTTTTTGTAATGCTGGGTGTCATTATTTTCATGATGAATTTTTTTATAGTAGCCTAGTGAAACTGACTGAATTGCAAAGTTATCTGTCAAATCACGTGCCCAACCAAACATTTACTATTCCTGGCATCTTTGGTCAGCAGTGCTTCATTTCTTGTCTGCTGTCATTTGTGGTTCTGGTTTCCTTCCAGGCTGTTAGGAGGACTTGTGGGTAACCAGTGCTTATAATTAGTGTTTTCACTCGTTACCTTTATATTTTAAGCCACTGAATCTCCACTTCAGCAACAGGTAAATTAATAGAAGCTGCCCTGAAATCTCTACAGAGCCACGAAGAGCAATGTGATCATATAGACAGGAAATTCAACACGCCCATGTAGATTTAAACAGCATCTTACTTCTCCAGGCCATTGGGATGTAAAATCTAACAAATTCTATTACAGGTTCATTTATGTGAACTTTGGGAAAACTTTTGGCAAAAACCCTCCCAAAAGATACAAGGAAAAATGATAAGTAGGAAGGCAAACTGTAGTAGTGTAAAATGTCCCCTAGGAAAGAACTAAAATCATCAGTTAACATGATGGGAAAATACACTTCTAGCAGGGATCTGGGTAAAGCTGTAATCCAGGTAAAGGAACACAGGTGTGGGAATTGCCACAGAGAGAATTCAGCCAAAAGTTATGATGTGCTTAAGAGCAAGAAGAAAGCCAAGATGCCCCCAAAGGCACGTGCTGACCCAGCACTCCTTGTGACCATGCTGCTTCCCCAAGTGAGCTGTCGTGCACTCTGAGAGCAACAACTGGAGATACTGGGAGCACCACAGAGAGAACCTCTTGATATAAACCTTCCGAAGATACAGTTAGTCCTCTGCTAATAGTATGTGGCTACTCAGGGTAACAGAAGAAAAAAACCTATCTTTTATCATAAGGATCACAGTTTCCCAATGCCAGAGAACTGCTTTGTAGTATAGTCGTGAGTAGCAGCAGCAGTTCCAGTTTATTAGTGCTATGGGTGTAGTACTACATATTTATTCCTAATTTGGGCTCTGTCTAGGAGAAATTATCCATGGGGAAGGTCAGCCTGATGAACAAGGCCAAAAATAAAAGCTGTGTGCCAGGGAGCTGCAGTGCTGCCTGGGAGATGGGAGTTCGTGTCCTTGACCCGGCCTGCTTGGATGTAGGATCTGACTTAGCTTTTCTTTTTTCAAGTTGGAATCTGCTGCTTCTTTTTTATTAGTTGTTAATTCGTTCTCTTTTTTTTTTCATCTGGGTAGAAGGGAAGCAGAACGCTGGTGGTTATCTCCTGAATCCTCTTAAATGCTGCTTCCACTGAGACTAAATAAGAGTAAAGAGGAATTAGGATTTCTCTGGAGCAGTGGGCCAGTGCTAGAAGAAACCACACATGGAGATGGAGAAACTAATTTTGTTTGTTAGCCCCGCTGCCAGTTTTGTTTCGTTGTTTGCCCGTTTATCTGGAGGAATCTGTCAGTCACGGATTGGTACATCGGAGAGATGAAGTGCTCTGAGGGGATGCTGGGAAGCATTCTTCTAGGTCTGATTGGATTTGCTGTGTGTAGTCTAGGATGGTTTCTGTAATAAGAAGTAGGATTTGCCCATATGAAGTTGGTTCCAGCAGAAGAAATCCTTTGTAGAAGGAAAGGGACGAGCTTTGTGGAACGGCAGTGACAGGATGAGTAACAAGTGTTTATTTAGACAGCTTTTTTTTAGTATTCACTAAATCTCAAGTGGATAGCTGTGGGCTCCTAGAAATGACTTTACTATTACTGTATGGAAAAATATCCTTGGTCTAATAGACAACAGTCAGTATGCATTTTTTATTGCTGTTCTTTCATGACAGGCGAACGTAATGGTAGGTTTGAGACGTTCTCCTTTCAACATGCAGAACCAGAATCCCCTGGCAGTTTTGCAGCCGTGACCAATATCAATGCGATGTCTAGGCCCACTCACAGCACTTCATCACAGGTAAAAGAAAAATGCATCACTGCCCTGGCTGAAATGTTAACGGAGTTGCAAACAGTCATCAAAAATGTGTGCCCTTTTTATCTGACGTAGGGTTAAGTTACAGTAAAGAACCTTCTTTGCGTTAAGTAAATTATCCCAGATGGAGTATCTGTGCTTGGAAAACAGATAATTGTTTGTTAAAGAGTTTCACAGATAATAGAACTAAAGCAAGCATTTCAGTTACTGGCACTGGGCCTTTCATTTTACTTTTTTTCAGATTTCGTTGAGTATACCCTAATTTATACTTCCAGGTTTACACAGGAGCTCTTAAAACACTTTCTTCTTGGTGCAAAACGTGCACCGAGTGCAAATACAGTCACAACACTTGTTAAGCCTCAGCTTTGCTGCTTGAAATCTCTGTGCAACTCAGCCTCTGGTATAGAAATTTTCTGAGGAGCAGCAGAGCTCTGATTCAGCAAAATCCCTGAAGAAACTTTGTTTTAACTCTATTGGAAGTACTGAACAAATTCATTTTGCTACTCAGGTTTCAGGCCCCCAGTTCTGTTTGGCCTATTGCTGTGCTGGTGCCTGCTGAGTTTTAATCTGGTGATGATGGCTGGAGAACTGAATTCTGATACACATCTTCCAGGCAATTTTGGCCATGCACAGATCTCTTATTACTCTTCTTTGATGAAGCCATCTTTGAAGAACACCTAAATCAGCATTTTAGAATAGATCTCTTTCCATTACCATTCAGCTAAAAATTGAGATATCTTATTATGTACTACATCATGATTTAAAGCTAAATTTTCTCTGGTAATCAAGGAAGCTCAGTTTTTAGCCTTATAGGATCCATGCACTACTGAGCACAGAAAACCAGGAATCCTGGTATGATCATGGCAAAGAAATTCAGTTATGAAGAAGGGAGCATTAAATTTGAAGATCTCTTAAGTATTCAAAATTGATTGTAATTGAAATTAGGGAAATACCCACTGATTTCAGAGTTATGAAAGCAAGGAGTAGATCTTAGTGATAAGATAGTTTTAAGATCATTAGACCTCCAGAGTCTCTTGAAGAGTTTCTTCTTGTGCATTTGTATTATTTCTCAGTTAACTTAGTTCTTGTGTTGTAAGCTGATGAATCTTGAATTGACTCTATTATACAGCATAACTCCAGGAGGAGGCTGAGAAGCGAGAGCTCCTATGATATAGACAACATTGTTATTCCAATGTCACTGGTGGCACCATCAAAGTTGGAGAAACTGCAGTACAAAGAAATCCTGACGCCAAGGTTTGTTCGTGACCTCAGTTGCAAAGAAAGTGGCAAAATGAACGTGACAGCATTAAGGGTACTGATAATTTGTATTAGATAATGTTACAATACTGAGGCGATCTTCTCATGTGCTTGGTGGTTGCTTTTTAATATGCATTTCAATTTGTGCATAGAAGTGGGTAAAAAGATGGGTGGTAGGAAGACTGATCAGCTGATGGCACAAGGGAAATAAAGCAATAGGTACAGAGTAATGGCAGATGCAGAGACTGGCTAAAAATAGAAGGGATTTTGTACCATTTGAATTGTAGAGATACTTGTAGGCTTAAGTATGCTATTGGGCTGACCCTCTCAACAGTTACGTGGAGATTGCTGTCTTTTGTGTGCATCTGGTTCATTGAGACCCTGGAGCGTGTCCAGAGAAGGGCAACAAAGCTGTGATGGATGAGCACAAGTCTTATGAGGGAGCTGAGGATGTTCAGTGTAGGGAAGAGGCTCAGGGGAAACCTTACAGCTCCCTACAACTCCCCGAAAGGAGGCTGTGGTGAGGTGGGGGTCGGCCTCTGCTCCTGCATAACTACCATGAGAGAGAATGGCTCTCAGTTGCACCAGGGAAGGCTCAGGTTGGATATTAGGAAGAAAGTATTCTCTGAAACAGGCTGCCCAAGGAGGTGGTGGAGTCATCATCCCTGGAGGCGTTCAAGAGATGTGTAGATGTTGTACTGTAGAACATGGTTTAGTGGGGAAATACAGTGGCAGGTGAACAGATGGACTTCATAGTCTTACAGGTCTTTTCCAACATTGGTGACTTTGTGATTCTTTACAATGACTTAGCTTTTAGGTAAATTGACTTCTCGTTTCATTTCTAGCTGGAGAGTTGTTGAATTAGAGCCTTTGGAAAGATCTCATGTAAATGAAGAAGAGGTAAGCTATATTTTAATTAAACCAACTGCATGGTTAAACTGGATGTATAATTGGGATAATCAGTATGTATTTTCTAAAGACTTTGTACAGATCCTGGTAAGTTTCACATTTCAAAGTACTGGGTCTCAGAACTTGGGAATATGTCCTACCCCAACCTACCAGACCCTGTAGTGGATGACAGAAATGCAAGAACCTCCATTAATTACTGCTTTTTCATCTAGCTCCTATGTCCCTTGCTATTGGCAGTCAGAGCTCACGTAGGGTCCTCTGCTCCTGAGCACTCAGCTATTGGGTCTGCTACTGTGACTGTCCCTGGCGCTACCTGTGCTATAACATCTCTTGTCCTTTTCCTTCATGGCCATTTGCCATGGCCTCTTGCCCTCCAAGAGGTAATTTGGCATTTTGCCTGCAGGCCCAGAAGGTTCCTCAAGTCCTCTTGCCCGCGTTCCTTCAACTCTCCCGCTGGAAGCAAACTTTTCTGCTTTCCCAGGAGCAGCATAACCTTGGGCATTTCCCGCTCGTCTTTTTGCCACGTCTGCACACTGTGTGCCACTACTGTTGCTTTCTCCAGACGTAAAAATGCCCCTTTTTCCTTCAGGGAACACCTGTGGACTTAGAGGCTGAGGGCTTCCTTTCTCCCCTAATGATGAGCTTCAGCCTAGCCCCAGTGTGAACATAACAGCCAGTCTGCTCTCTAGGCTGCTTTTCTGTTCTTCCTGTCTTACTGTGGCTCCTCTTCGAGTGTCAAAAGACAAACCTGCCTTTGTACATCCGTAGTCTCTCTCCAGTCTCTGCTACAGGCCATTACGGACTGCTGTAGCTATAGGATTAGCATTTATACTTCCATCCATGATATCCACTCTTGAGCTTACCTTTCAGAACATCCACGACCAGAGCTTACAGGCCTTATTAGTAAGACAGTTCTGCATTTATGTAGCAGTACAGAAGATAATGCTAAACAGTGCTGAATGGGCTTCAGGGTGTCTCTGTGTGAAGCGTGTGTGCTTATTGTTAAATGGCCCTCCCAGTACATTTGTGTTTTGGCATTCCTAGTTCAGCCTCTATGATTCATCACTTGGCCAGGAAATAACTTGAGTACAATAAAGCGGCTTTGCCTCCTGCTGTGGTCCACTGCTTCAATATTGTCTGTCAGCTGCTGGGTAGAATAAGAGGGATGTCAGATGAGGAAGATGATAAAGAGCTTCTCTTTTCTAACTTGCCCTTTGCCAATTTTCCCCCTTTCCTTTGGATCGTATTAATTGGTTTGGATGTTTTTTGAGCCCTGAGAAAAGGTGGTTGTCTGATCTTAAATCTCCCATTGCTTAGGTTTTGGGCTGACTTAGTTCTGAAGCTTGAGAAAAGGCATGAGAGAACAGGAGCATTACCTTTTCTTCTCACATTCTGACTCTCTTGAAGTTCTTCCTTGTACTAACATCAAGGTGAGCTTCAGCAGATCATTGTGGAAGAAGAGAGAGGGCAAAATGTGCTGTCTGCCTCTGTAGAAGTGTAAGCTTTTTCTTTGCTTTTCTCCAGAGCACCTGGGGTGGTGCTATAAAATAGTTGTCTTTCTGTTGTCTTCTGTCTAGCTAAATTTAAAACTCCTTCTGTCAACCAGCACTTAGGATCTCTTCCACTTGATGCAGCAGACTTGTGCCCAAAGTTTCCACAAGTTAAAAACAAGTAAGCAGTCCCAAATTTGTCAGGTTCTACAGGAGCTGAACTTGCAAGGATAGGAACTCAGCAGTTCCCCATTCACAACAATTCGAGTACAGAAGTCTTACCTTTTTGGGGTACCTCGTTCTTGTGTCTGGAACTTTTGGACAAGCAGCATTTGTGTTTCCTGCATGTATGACTTTGCAGCCTGTTATTGCTTCAGCAAGGGAGGGTGTGGCACGGGCTTTCCTGTTTTGTTTTGTCTAGGTTCAAGTTTCTGGCAAGGCAAGGGTATAGAACAGCGTTGAAGTTTATTTTGTAGTTGTTCAGTAACGACCAGTACTTCAGCATAATTATTTCTGTGATTAGTTTGGTGAAAGTGTTTCTATGGTGTATGACTTAGTGCTTCCCATGAAGCAGAAGAGCAAAGCACTGATTTTGTTTTGCCAACTTGTCAGAAACACTCCTGGTTATTTATTTTGGGTGCTGTTCCTGCTCATTCAAGGTGAATGCCCGTTGACTTGTAGCTTAGCTAGGTGAGATGGAGAGAATTCACATCTGAATGGAAGCAAGGTCTTGTTCTTTACACGAGCTCCTGAGATCTGCTTCACAAAGAGACCTTTGCTCTCAACACGACTGCCAGAACCTTCTGACAAGTAATGACAGTTCCTAGGCCTTTTTTCAACCTGTTCTTAGTGAGGAAAAAAAAAAAATCAAAGTGCTCCAGCCACAGTAAGTATAAATTAACCTAAAGTTGGTGCAGGAAACATATAAAGTCTTAGGGAAGAGCAAAGGCTGTATCGAATCAACTAAAGTCCTGGTTTATGCTGAGGTAATGTGATTTTGTCTGTGGAACAAATAATACTTTTAAAATCAACTCTATTAGTGGTCAGTCTTGGATGGAATAGAGTAAAACTTAAATAAGCAAGTACTTAAATCTCTGCTATCAGCCACGGAAGAGGTACAGTAAGGCTTATTTCAGTATTGCAGAACTCTTGGCTAGGAGAGGAATGTGGGCTTTGATTTTGAAAGGAAGCTCATTAAAAATGAAGTTTCTTCCCCTCATGAAAAGTCCTGGCAATTTGCTAAGAAAAGTATTTTCAAAGTCCAAGTTTTTCTTTTGGAATTATCTTTTGTTTGCACTTCAAAGGAAATTGAGCACACAGAAAAATCCTAAACGTTCCCTGAGGGAATAACGCTTTGGTAGTCCATAAAATTCCCACTTTTGCACTGTACATCACTGACCTTGGGAAAGAGAAATCTAAACTGAGGTGCAGACCCTGAGCGATGCCATCCAAGGGACAGAACTGGTGAATTCCAGAGAGAGGAGGAAACACATTAGGTTGACTTCCATGAAGGGAAATCAACAGCTAACAAAGCCGTTTGTGTTCAACATAAATACATAAAAGCAGTGAGGAGCCTTCAAAAAGAAATCATGAGCCGGGCAAACAAAGCAGGCTTGTTTGTCTGAAGGTTCCTGTTGAGTGCTGAGCTGAGGAGGAAGCAGGCAGCTACAGCTTTAGCAAATGGCTCCCATGGCCAATTCAGACTGCGCTGAACTGCAACTCCGGGGCCCTTTTCATCAACCCAGATGAATTTTGTTGTGGGGCTGTAGTTCATGACCACAGCTTAGGTAGGAGCTGTGGTCCCTGGGAAGCTGAGGAATGCCACTCTCTGATGTGTTTGCAGCAGCATAAATGCGTTGCAGTATTTTGCATTTGGAGCCATGATGGTAATGCACTGCACTGCTTCAGTGCTGCAAGTCTTCATGCAGGGAATGGCTTCTGCAGAAGACCTGGGGGCATCAGTTGTCTGCTGCAGCATAAATGCAGCTGGCAGCCTGTCTGTTTCTGACAGAGCGGTAAAGATTCTGCTTTTTGCCTCTGTGTTTTATCAGATGGAATCAGAAGTTGAATCGTGTTGCTTGTGTAACAGCCACGAGAACTTTGTTTTTACAGAACGTCAAATTTATTTTCCATGACCCTCAGTTCTTGGTATAGTTCTTGTCCAGGGATGATCTGGCAATGCATTTATGAGCAGGAATTGTTGTTTCCTAGAATTTCGCTGCTTTTGAGTTGGGAGCAGCTGGCACAGAAAAGCATGGCTGCAGCAGTCATATGCTCTTGCCAGCCTTAGCTCTTAGGTGAACTTTGAGGTGGCTGAATGGCTTGGAGCACTCCGAAACAATTCTGAGCAGTGCTGGCATGGCCCAGCCAAGAGCTCACCTGATCTGGGGAGGGAGAGGGATGGGCAGCACCGTGCTCCTTGCCCAGCTACCTCTAAGCAGCAGGAGAAATGAAGGTGGCTCTTTCAAAGTGAAGGTCGGAGTGTTTTTTTGCAGCGGGGGTGTTTGTATCTAAAAAACTGGCTGGTTTGACTGTGAGCAGTTAGTTAAAATACAGTTCTGCTTGGTTTGTGTGGAGCCGTACCTGGGTCGTGCAGATCAGTCGCTGAGAAGTGCTCTCTTCAAAGCAGAAGCGATTTTCTGCTTGGTTTCCTAGCAGGAATGCAGCACCTCAGGTTTGCTGTGTGCCTCTCTGTGTGCAGCTATCCCTGGCCTCATGAGCTCAGACCTATTGCTCTGTGCTTAAAGAGCACCTGGCAAATCCTTCTGCCTCCCAGCTCCCTCTTGCAGCAGGCTCTGGAAAGTTCTGCAATTTTTGCTCGCCTTCTTTAGAAATACCTGTCCTTTTAATTTGCTGCTTCCCACCATAGAAAAACACGTGTTACGTGGTAGGGGGAATAATTTCTGTGTCAGTTCAGATCGACCACAGGCACACGAAGAAATAAACTGTGACAGCATCCCATTATTTTGACGTGCCTTCATACTGCAAGCATGCATCATCCTCTCTGCTGGTGTGTTCAGCAAACAGAGCTCCGTAGAATTACATATAATACCATCTGTCTTTGTTTCTAGAGAAGTTCCTAATTACAGCAGCAGCCGTGTCTCCCTCCTTTCTCATTGCAGGCAGAAGATCTGTCAGATGAAGTGTTTTCCTCACGTCATACAAAGTATGAAGAAAGAGAGCGAGCGAGGTGGTCGCTGTGGGAGCAGAGCCGCTGGCCCAGAAGGAATAGCAGGCAGGTGGACCGACTGGGGCGGGGGTGTTCCTCTCAATGGGGAACTGTGACAGAGAAAACAAGGGCACTCCTTGTGAATTAGCTGTCAGGGACAGTACCAGGTCTAATCCTTAGCTGAAAAAAGAATGCCATGCAATTCTGAAGCACACAGAACCTATGGAGATTTGGCGTGGCGCTGATTAAGGTTTTGTTCCCATGCTGATCAGTTTGTGTCACTCCCAGCTGTGACACTATGCCACACTCTGCAGCAGGAGCCCTTCTTCACTGACCTGACAGGCTGTGCCAAGGACCTTATGCTTAAGCAGTCGTGTGCTGGTAATGAAAAGGTTAATTATCACAGGCCTGCTCTCTGGTGCAAAACTCCCCCTAAAACTCTTGAGAGCAATAGTGCATGTAAGAGTGAGCATCCTACAGCTCTATCTGCAGTTCAGCACTGGGAAAACGATTCCCATAAATGGCTTCACAATCTGCCAGGACAAAAACAGTCCTATAAATGTTGTGTTTTTGCCATTCATCAACAACTGTGTCTGTTCTTCACTGAAAGTGAACTGTGATCATATGAATAAATACGCAAAGTTAGCTTAGTCTTGTGTGGTAAGACTGAGACTAACACCTATCTTATGCACACTAGGGGAGCCCATAACCTGCTGTTCTGGGCACAGGGGGAAGGCAGCATGGTTTGAATCAGGAGCCTGCAAGCAATGCTGTGCTCCCAAGCAGAATCAGCCCCCAGCTGTTGAACAGCCAGAGCATGGCTCTTCCAGCCACGTTTATTCATTTTTCTCCTCTGCACAGCACTCTTTGCTGGGTTGTCGAGAACCATGCGTTTTCATTTCTTTCTGTTTAAATAAGTAAAGCACAGATAGCACATACAGACTGCTTTCAGTGTTGTAAAAGGGCGGGAGCCAGGCATTAAGACTCTTGCCTCTTTTATCCCATGCTAGATCTTACAGCAAAAATGCTGACGGACGACACGGCCAAGATGTGGTGCAGAAGGACCACCCCGGCAGCTCCTGTGCCTCGCTGCACTGCGCTGCTGAACCTGTTCCCGACCTGACTCCTGAAGCCCACGGCTCTGTTTGTTCAGGGATTGCACAACTCCGCAGGGAGAGCCAGGAAGCAAAGGTGGGTGGTTCTGGTGGCTTCCAGTCCGTTCAGGACCCCAGTGAGCACCGGGTCTTAGTCTAAATCTTGGAGCTGGAGCGTGTCCGTGTCCCTCCTTGCCGTCACTCTGGTTTGCGTGGAGCGAACGTAGTGCTCCTGTTTAGATACGTATGTTTGATGAATGAAACCTAACATTTGTCAACAGATAAAGTTTTCACAGCTCAGCAAACACGGCACATGTTTTAGAGGTGAGTGTGGCAGGCCTGGGCTCAGGGCTGCTCAGTCTCTCCTCAGGGCTGTTGGCTGCTGTTCCAGACAGGCCTGAGCGTGTCAATGCCAGCTACTGATGTCTGGCAGCATGGAAGAGAGCCTTCCCCTTCCCATGCTGTGCCCGTACCGTCACAGCCCTGTTACTAGTTCAAAACCACACAAGGCCAGCTTATGTGGACAGCTGGTGCCTCATAGTGCCATAGTCTGTATCTGAAGAGCCCTGCAAACTGTCATAGAGAACGAGGCTCTGTTGTAACTCGATAGCAGATCATTCTGCACGTAGCTCATCAGCTCAGACTCAACCAAAATCCCTTTTCTCCCCTTCTCTCTGATTTCAGTCTGGGCTGTGGGAACTTCGAGTTTTTCCACTAAAAGATGAAGAGGTGGAAGCTTTACTGTGCCAAGATCAAGTAACAAATCAGACTGAAATGTCAAGTGCAGCTTTCCCCAGTGACTCTCCCTGTGCTCCATGTACACCCATTGGTTTGCCAGACAATGGCCTTCCACCACGAAAACAATCTACAGAAGAGTCAGAAGACAGCGAAAATGTTTGCCTGGGAACCAACAGTACAAGAAAGCAAAGGTGACAGGGAGTAATGTGGTTCATTAAGAAAGCCAATTAAGGTGGAGAAAAGTGTAAGGTAAAATCTCTCTTGTTCACACAGCATATGACAGCACAATTCAAAACCTGTACGTTAGCTGCATATAATATATTTTCTTTCTTGCTTTGTAACAGGCAGGATAATTCCCAAAGACAACACTTTCTTCTTCCTGAACCCCAAGAGAAAGTAATTATTTCAAGCTGGAAGTCTAATATTCCCAGTGTTGGGAGTGAGCACACATAAATTGCTGGCAGCATTCACTGCTTTCTGTTGTCATATCGCCACATTTGTTAGTGATCATCCTTTTTTGTCTTGTTTGTTCTCAAATGCGTTTCTGGTTCCAGTCGATTCTGGTGCGACAGGATGCGCTGTCAACCTTAAACCAACAACTTCAACTGAACACAGAAAAACTACTTGACCATATAGTGGGAGGAACAATAACCACTCATTATTTTCCTGTGTGGCATGAACATGTGGCAGAAAATCCACCTCTCTTTAAGTGCATGCGTGTAACCTGTGCGTAAGGGAAGGGCAGGTGAGAAGCAGCAGTTTGAAAGCAGGCGGTGTGGAAGCCTTGCCTTTAGCTTAAAATCTGTACTCAGCTCTCAGTAGTGCCAGGGCATGTTTTGTATAGACATCCTCAAGCAATAAGATAGAAATAGACCACTGCATTTCAATAGTCCATGTATCTGCTACTCAGAAAGTAGGGTTCCTGTTTGTCGTATGGCTATAGGGAATTGGAAGAGAAGAGGAGCTCTCTGAATATTGCATTCTGTGGTCCTTCAGTAGCAAAGGAGGCTCATAATATTTTGCTTTAATATGTTAAAGACAAAAAGTCTTGTAATTTCTGTACAGTGCCTTGCAAGAGTCTCTAAGTATGCCAACATTTGGTGACTAGCTGAAAAGGAAGAGATGGCTGATGGCTAGAAGACCCGTAAGGAAAAAAGCCCAAAAGCTCTCCACTGTGATGCTGGGTAGAGTTTTCATTTCCCAGCGAGTTCACAGTGAGTAAAGAAAAGCAAGTTGTTTCAACTTGGATCTAAATAGAGTAGTTTGGGATGTATCTGCAGTCTCAAGAGGTATTAACAAAGATTAAGCATTGAATGTAGGTATAATTTACCAACAGGAAGTTCTTCTGTGTAGGACAGTTGAAGGCAATATTATAGGAGTCTCTGTTTTTGTGCAAAAGTTTCTTCTGTGTGTAAAAGCTGGAGCTGAATGGCACTGGACAGATGACCCAGTTATAGTGTCAATTCTTTTGGTGTTTTGTTGTTTTTTTTTTTGTCAGAATGACAGGAAATATACACTGGACATCTGAAAACAGTTCAGTAAAGTTTCAACACTACAACCTATTGCTACATTGTAGTTTATTGCACATTCTGATTATTTTTTTAAACATTTTTTTTTAACACTGGTTTGTCTTAAACTTGAATCTTGCCTCAATGTCTGATACTATAATCTTTGATGCAAGGTTGTTTTTTAATTAAAAGTTATTTCTATATATATATATACACATATATATATTGTTGTACGTAGTCTGAATTTGCTGGCCTCCTAGAAGCGATGGATCAATAGTGATGCTTCCTCTTGGCACAGAGACCTGCTCAGCCAAAGCAGGGCTTTGCAGGCACACAGATGCCAGTGGCACAAAGCTGTGCTGCCACACCAAAGCTGCCCCGGTGCTCTGAGGCCAAGGTTGCCCCCAGCACCCATCTACAGAAGTGAGCTTTGCGTCTCATCCTGCACGTGCATCTGCTGCTAGGAAAAGCCTTCAGAACGCTGAATGCCACCAGTGTTTGCAGGGCTCTTCCACTCTGTGCAGCCCTTCAGTAAGTGGGTGTCCATCCTTACCCACTTCACTGTAAGGTCAGGGCTTCCTGCCCTGTGATTCCTGACACACGTGAGCAGTTCTGCAGTTCAGAGCTGGGACGGAGCCACAGCAGGTAAGGCAGCCTGCTAGCTGCCTGATGTGTCCTGAAGATGCAGTCAGGAAATGGAAACATTTCCAGCATTGCAGGGGAAGAAGCAAGAGGAGGGGGGTTTTCCAGACCTATTTGAGGAGAGGGAGCTGAAGAGGGTTGAAATGTAAGAGACAGATGACCCAAGACTCGCAGACTGTGAAGCTGCTCTGCGTGGCTGTACAGCACCCAGCTGTGGTGTCCCACTGCTGTACCCACTGAACCACTGTGCTGCTTTAAGGGTCAGCCTCCACTGTGCTGCTCTGAAGCAGCTGTTTGTTATCTTGCCAGATGCAAGTCAGTGTAAGCAGAATTCCCTTTGTCCTCTCTTCATATGCATTTGCTCAGCCATTGTGGGAAATATTGCCTCACAACACGACAACAAAACAGCTAGGCAAAGACAGGCTGAGCAGCCAGGAGACTGAAAAACACACTGGACAAACCATACAAGTGCACATCTGGTCCTACCCCATCCATCCCCGTCCAAAGCCTTTCCCCTTACCCTCTGGCGCTCAGCTCACTCCACCTGCAGCACTGAGCTGCAACCACCCGCCTTGCACAGCGAGCTGCCCAAGCAGCCCCGGGGCTGGAGATCCCAGCAGTGCACAGAGCCTCCCATCAGGTGAGCAGCATGTGCAGGCACAGCAGGCAAAGGCCGGGGGGGGAGGGGGGTTGGCCAAGAGGAAGTGGCAGCTGCTTTTCTCATGTCACAGCAAGAACACCTTCAGCCACAACACTGGAAGCAGCGCAGCAGCTGTTACAAAGGCTGACTGTTACACACAAACTTAAACATAAGCAGCAATCCCCCCTCCCAAAACTCAAGCGTTGCAGCTGCATAAAGAAAGCAGTTTCCCTGTCACCATTTTCAATAGACATATTCTGCTCCCTGCTGCTATGGGGGTTAAAGCACTTCGCCTCTGCAGCCAGGTACCTTAGCAGAATGTAAGTACCAATACAAGCTTCTAAAACCCATTCAAACTAAACCACGTGTTTTTCTGAAGCTGTGCTGGGACCACACATCCAGTCCCAGCCTTGCTCAGGATGGGTCCAAGTGTCTTTACCCTGTCCTCCAGTGCTGACACTGCCTCTGCTCCTCAGCTCCCCTGGCTGCTGTCCCTGAGACTTGCCCTCAGTTTCCTCCTTCCACTGTTGCCAAAATTCTGATGTCAGAGCACTGTAACAGTTCTGGTGTTTGCTGGGCCCTGTGGATACTAGGTAAGACTACTGGCTCTCCTGTTGATGCTCAGCTGGAATCCTGCTGCTGGGGTGCCTCTGCAGTAGAAATACATTACCGAATACAGGAGGAGAGGCTTAAATGGCAACCTAACATACAACTTCCTTGTATGTATCGAGGCAGTAAACCAGACGAGTGCTAGGCAGAAGAACAACCATTGCTACTGTTACTGCTAGAGATTGTGCAGCTCTGTGGTTACAATTAGCTTTAACTTGAGTTTTGTAAGAGGACACTGCCACAGTAACCAGCTGCACGGTGCATTCTGGATGGACTTACAGGGAAAGAAACAATTGAGCAATGTTCCTGTGTGTGTAGTGTATTTCACAGCACTGCTAATCCAAGACCCAGTGCAAGCACAAACTTGAACATTTAAACAGCGACAAAGTGACTACGGCATGTAAAGAAAACATACTGCACTGTTCTATGCTCAGAACGCAGCACAGTGCCTTCAGTTAAATAGCATGACTTTGGGCCTGTTTTTTTCCAAAGCAACGGAATGGTTTGATGACCCCTTCATCCCAGCTCCAGAGCAGCTGTAGGAGACAAACACTGCTTTCAACAGCATGAGAAGTCACGCTTCCAACTCCTGTGCTAACCCTGCATAGCTGGTTGTGTGCTGCTCAGCCTGCACTGCAGGTACCAGAGCTCTGGCTATTTCTACATGCACAATGCACTGGACTCCACCCAGCTGCTTTCTGGCCCTAACGCACACACCAGCCACACAGACTATTACCTTGCCTAGCCAAGCTGCGGCTGCTGAGCTTTCTGCTGTTCCCCCAGGGCAGCAGACTGTGTGCAACCCTTCTGTCATGAGTCCAGGAAAAAATACCGCACAGAATACCACGGAAATTTGGAGGGAACGAGGCTAATGAGAGCTTCAGGAGGAAAGTCTATCTAAAATGCCCTGCTAAGGTCTTCCTCCAGTTTTGAGCTCTCCTACTTCATGTGTCCAAACCAGACGTGACAGAGCAAACAAGTGGAAAGCATGCGAACTGCTCAGGCTGGTTACCAAGAGGACAGGTAAGCTGTTTCACAGTTAAAGAAATAAGCACCTCTATCCCCTGCATTTCAACCTACATACAATGAAATCGCTTCTAAATCACTGACTTGGGTAAATGCACAAACTGAAGAGAGCATAGGTCAAGATAATGCATTTTAACTTCCTTCTACAGAATCCTGTCACTCGAATCAATATTTGAAAGGTACAAAATACTCCCCAGTTTTCGGGACTTGGTAAAGATGTTTCACCAACTTGTTTGGCATTTGAACCACTTCTGTAGGTCCAGTACTTCCGTGCAGCAAATGCACAACACAGAAGTGTTTCTGACAATCACGCACGGGATTCCTACACCTGAGTGCGTTTTTCCCAAACTATTCATCGTTCATAGCTTAAGGGAGACTCACCACAGCAGAAGTGTGTTTAATGCAGACAATGGAAAAGTTTTGCAGGAACGCACAGACCAAATGACAAACACAGACAGCGAAAGGCAGGTTCATTAGTCTCCCACAAGGTAGCGGCCCATGGCGGTGCTACACTCTTCTAGCAAGCAAAGATTGACTGAACTGCAGTTCAGCCAGCATTACAAGTTGTGCCACACAATTAGCCTCCACAGAATCAAGAAACAGGTTCAAACCATTGCATTTCCAACCCTGAAAGACAGCCAGACAGTTTTTCACTGCTGCTTGCTTCATTGCAGCGAAGGAATGATTCCTCTGTTCAGCAGCAACAAGTTTCCACGATTAATGTTCATCCAGCCCTCCCTTAGCATGAGAAACAAGGGTTTTCCTGTGCGCCCAGAGCCTTCTGGAGCACTGCTCGGGTAGGTCTCACCGATCCAGACAGCGCTTCTGAGCAGCTTCTGAACACACATTCCTTAGCAGATTGATCACAGATCTCGGATCTGCGCTCTTCATAATGGCACTGCCAGACACAATCATATTTGCACCCGCCTGGAAGACATTAAACACCCGCTCAGTGACATGGGACACAAGTAAGGGCAGCGACCGACGCGAGGCCGAAGGACAGAGGAGCACCGCTCGCAGGCTCAGGCGCCGCGCCTCACTACTGCAGCTGCACTCCCCAGCAGTAACTTCCTCATCCCCGCTCCTGTTACCTAAGCGTACGAGGAACACCAGCTTTCGCTTCAAGAGGCTTCGGGAGCCACAGCCGAAACGAGCGCGAGCTCAGGCCCCACACGACGCTGACATCGCCTGCCTCGCCGTTCCCTCCGACCGCAAAGCACCGCACGGCGGCTCCACCCGCGCCATTTCTCAGGGGCGGCGACGCCCCCGGGCCTCCCGAGCGCAGCTCCTCACCTCGGCACACTTGTGGATGGTGTCAGGCCCGACTCCTCCGTCCACCTCGATGTCCAGCGACGGGAACTGCGTCCTCAGCCACTGCACCTGAGGGCACACAGCGAGGGAGGCGCGGCGTCACCCCGGGCCGCGCCAGCGCCGAGAGCCCGGCACGAGCGGACGCCGGGCTCACCTTCGGCATCATGTCCTCCATGAACTTCTGCCCTCCGAAGCCCGGCTCCACCGTCATCACCAGGGCCACGTCGATCTGGTTGGCCAACGGCGCCAGCTGCTCCACCGCGGTGCCGGGTTTGATGGCCAGCCCCACCTGCCGGAGAGGAGAACGGTCGGGGAACGCGCTGCCCCCCGCGGCCCGGCGCGGCCCCCGGCCTCGCGCTCACCTTCATGCCGTTCTCGCGGATGTCCTTAATGAGCGCGCCGGGGCCGTCGGTGGCCTCCAGGTGGAAGGTGTACTGGTTGGCGCCAGCCACGGCCATGGGCTGCACCCACTGCTCGGGCCGGGCCACCATCATGTGCACGTCTGCGGGCGGCAGGCCGTCAGCGAGAGCCCCGCCGGGCCGCGCCGCGCCGCCCCCGCCCGCTTACCGAAGAAGGGCTCCCGGCCCAGCCGCTTGCGCAGGCTCTCCACCACGGGGTGCCCGAAGGTGATGTTCGGCACGAAGTGCCTTGGGGGCCGAACACACAGCACGTTACCGCCGCGCCGCCTCGCGCCGCCCCGCGCCCCGCCCGCCTCGCGCCGCGGCCGTTACCCGTCCATTACATCCAGGTGCAGGTAATCAGCCCCGCAGTCCAGCATGCGGCTGCACTCGGCGCCCAGCGCCGCCAGGTCGCTGTTGAGGATGGACGGCCCGATCCGGCACCCCGACGCCATGGCCGCCGCCGGGCCTCCGCGCGTGCGCCGCCGCCGCGAGGCGTCACGGGACGGGCGGCACCGCCCCCCACCGCGCCATCTTCGCCTCGGGCGGGACGGGCGGGGCCGCGGGACCCAACCGAACCGAGCGAACGAACCCGAACCAAATGGCACTTCGGACGGCGCAGCCCCGAGCGCGGCGCGGCGATGGCCGCGGCTGTCTGACGGCAGGCACGTGGGCCGGCCGCTCTGCGGGCCCGGGGCGGCGCGGCAGCAAACACACACACAGCGCTGTCCTTCTGCCTCTGTATTTAGGCCTCCGAACAACGCGTGCATAAAATGGCGAGGCGGCAGGGCCGACGGAAACACGGACGGGTTCAACAGCACGCGCGCTGAAGGCCTCTAACGCTAAGGGAGCGGCGCCGTTTGCATTCGCAGCAGAAAGGCGGTGGTTGTGCACCAAAGGGCTGCAGCGCACGGCCAGGCACCGGGCCGATGGGAAACGACAGGGGGATGCAGAGCTGCACGTGGGAAACGGGCGTTCTAGTCGTGCCTGCGGCTTACTGCTGCAGGGTGACTGCTGGCAGAGGGAGACCTTAATGCAATTCGTATTATATACACTTAAATAAATCACACTCTTAATTGCTGCTGCAGTACACAGTGAGGCCCCTACTCTCATTCAAGCTGATTCTCCCTTCTCATTTCCAACACGAGATCACTGGCTGAAATGCACCCCGAGCTCCGTGCTGCACTGCAGCAGTTTGCTCAGCCTGCACCCGAGCTCTCCTGCTGCCCACCTGCACCCAGCCTAGCTGGGGCTGTCAAAGTGAGGCTGTGTTTTCTCTCACTTGTGCATCACTGTTAGCAGTAACACTTCTAGCCACTGGAATTTGAGCGAGGAGCTGATGCAAAGCGCTGTGGTACAGGAGGCTGGTGCTGGCTGCAGCATGCTGAGGAGATAAGAAGGGCAGAGCATGGTGCGGTCAGCAAAGCAAGCAGCCTGTCGTTGGGACGCCCAGTGAGCAGCAGCTCTGAGGCTGCCACCCCATCATCTCCCCGTAACGCTTCCACCTCAGCTTTAAAGCTGCATTAGTGCACCACCTACAGATGGATGGACAGAGGGATAGATTAATAAAGAGATACAGTTTGCCCCCTGGGCAGTGGAAGCAGCAGGTGCTCGGTGCCCCTGTGCTTGGGGTGGCTTTTGCTGTGGGCTGAGGGAGCTGAATGCGCACAGGATCCCTGCTGGCAGCTGCCATCAAACGTGAGCGTTTGGCAGACGCCGGGCAGCACGGCCCAGGGCTGCACGGGTTGGAACACGACTGCAACCTGCTGCTGCCAGGCGCGCACATCGTTTTTCACGACGCAGTAAAACGTGCACGCTGCCCCACAGCAGCGAGACAAGCGTTTGTAGGGCGGCATTTAAACCACTCCCAGGGAGATGCTGGCAAGAGACACGAGTCCTTCCCTTGGAGACGGAGAGGATATTGCTCCATCTCCGCACTCAGGCTGCTTTATGACGCACACGTTCAAATTACAAGCCCTAGGGGCCGAGCTGGTAATGAGCACATTTTGCAAACTCTCGCAGTGATCTGAAGCATTTTTCTGTGCACAATAACACCACAGTCACAAACCGCAGTATCTATGCTTCTCACAGACACTGGAAAAGGCTGCATGGGAGTCCCAAAGCACGGGGTGACTTTGGGCACTGCTTATGATTTCATGGCTTGATTCACAGCTGGTTTGCAGTTTGTTCCTTAGCAGCTAACGGCTACATTCACATGTCCCAGTAATTCTGCCACAGATTTATAACACATACATATCTCGCACTTGCAGCCATCAAGTTACACGCATAAAACGGAACCTTTTTAAATAGAATCTCAACATGCCAAAAATAGATTATTTCCTCAAGTTTCTGCCCTGCAATATCCATCTTTTGTTTGCAAAGCACATATATATTTGTATGTTTGCATCTATAAGGAACACGAAAATACCATATATAAATATTTACTTTAAATCCCTATATCTAAAGTATGTAAGACAGCGTCAGTGGAGGAGTTGCAAGGTACCAGAAGGTCCACGCGCTCCTGATGTGGTTTCCTTTTCCTTTCCCCTAGGTGGTTTTCCTTTTAAATTGTGTATCACTCAGTACACGAAAGCAGGACAGCGTGGAGCATGTATACCATCCATGGACCACTCACCCCCTGTCCATCTCTCTGCGCACAGCACGTGCATTCCTTTCTATGGTATGCACTGTATTTAGTTTTACAGAGCAAATATTTTTGTAGCAGGAGGGCAGCATCTTACAGAGTGGAATGACACCAACAGATAAAAGTAAACTCAACCAATGCCTGCAGTGCCAAAGAAATCAAAAAGAAAACTGCCTAATTGCTCCACGGTGCTTATCGTTGCTCTGCAAGTAAGAAACAATGGTCCCAGACTTTTACAAGCCTGGGCAAGTACAAGGTTTGTAAAAGTCAAGCTTTAGATTGGTACTTTTTGTCAGCATTTTCACTGTCGCTACCAAGCTGTAAAAGCCTGGCATCCAGCTACTGCATAACCAGCCCTCTTCTCAACACAGCTACAAAAATAAATCTCAAAGAGGTCTCTCACTCTCTTTCCTTGCACAGTACCTCAGCCTGCTCACCCAGAGAGGCTGCCTATCACAGTGCACGGCTGCCACACCAGGGCTTTGTGGACCACACACATTTGCCCACACACCCGTACCCTGAGAATTTTGTACAAATTCTCTGCTCCTACCATCTTGCCCTGGATATAAATAGATTCCTCATACAGAACTTTGCCAGTCTATAGCAACGGGCTGTTAGCTCTATTCTGCTTTTGGATAATAAAGTGCTCTTAATTAGTTACTAGTTACCGGGGAACTCAAAGGAGAAGGTACAGTTTTCTCTTCCTCCTCCCACTCCTGTACCTCCCTAAGAGTTAAACATGAGATTCATCCAGGTCGACGTCCGTCTCCCCAAGCTCCACATGTGTGAAGCTGAAGCGAGTGGCCAGCAAGGGGTTTTCCATCCCGTTGTCCTCACTGATGTGAAGGACCGTGTCCCCGTGCTGCAGCAAGCTGGTGGTCTCCAGGCCAGCGTAGTCCTCGGTGTCAGAGAGCTGTGTGGGCGGCGTGCTCTGTGCTGTGGCTGGCCGGGACTCCACGCTCTCCTCTTTCTCCTTCTCAGCAGAAAGTGCCTCGCTCTGCAGGAGAGGAGAGCCAGTGTTAGGCTCAGAGAAAGAGGGAGAGGGCAAGAAAAAAGAGCAAGGGAACATTTGGGAAATATTTTCTTATTCTCAACTACTGTTTTGCCATTAAGGGGCCAGGTAATTGCAGATTTTAAGTCCCTAACGTTCTACCCTTACAATTTTTGCTGGTGAATCAAATTTGTAGCAATAACCAGAAAAGTTGCCCGCTTTCAGTTTTTAACTCTTCGCCGTTTCATTGTTAAGTATATCTTCAACAAGAGCTTCTTATACACATTCATGGCGAAGGCCATACACCCAAAAGACGTGAGATGTCTGGGTGCATAAAGATCTCAGTGTCACAGTGCAGTCTCAGCGTGTTGAAATGGTGATCATGATTATCTCTGCACTGGGCTCAGTGGTGTCCAACACGGAGAGGTTGAGCTAAGCTCCTTTTGAAACATGATGCTGTTGACACAAACCCCCCTAAGTTTTTGCAGGAATCCTTCCTGAAGGACTCATTGCTCATAGAACGAGGTGCAAAGACCAGTCAAAGACCACTCACACAGCTCCACAGGGACTTGTGGGTCTGATGCGAAGATATAAAGAGAAGAAACAGGGATTTGCAAACTAAGAATCGTTGCAAAGGTAGAGAGGTGAGGGGTTGATAAAATTCAGCCTAAAAAAAAGCCAGTCTTTACTCATCAGCAGGTTTTCATTATACTGCTGTAGTACAGCTTTATCTATCTGCCCTGCAACTTAACTTGTTGAGGCTGAGACGAAGCAGCAGGCACACACACCATACAACTGTCGGACATGCTACCTGGCCAGCGGTCTGGCTATGGAGATCAGCTACAACGACGGCAGGTGAGGACGTCAGCACAGGTTTACTTGGTGCTTCCTGCTTGCTGCTCTCCTGGGGGCTGCTGCGGCTGCAGCCCTGCTGCTGGGCAGCTGAAGCTGGGGATTTGGCTGGGGATGGTGGTGTTGCCTCCGGCTGGGCTTCAGTGAAAGTCACCGAACGCTTCTGCTCCGCTGAGAGGTGCAAAGCCCAGAAAATTGAATATTAAGATGCTGTAATTTGGGAAGGAAAACAAAAGCAGACAGCATCCCCAGAGTTTTTACAAGCAAGACAGGATTCCTGATTCATTCCACCTTTATAAGCTGTCTAAATGGCATCCAATTTAAAAGCCTTTTATTCGTAGGCTTCCTCTCAAGCCGTAGCAAGAGTCATGGTTCTTCTGAAGACTACTGACCCTACCTGTCTTTGTCATGGCTCAATGAGCCACCCGAGACATCTTCCCATCCCTGAATGTAGTGTATTGGGTTCCCATGTAGGGCATAAACATAGAAGGAAGTTGCCCAACGCTTTGCAGGAAATATGAGAAAAGAAAGAGAGGAGCTGAGTGCCTCTCATTCCTGCCACTGACTGAGTCCACTACTGGGACTAAAACTCAACCATGAAACTAATAGCCTTGCTCTCACCCTTCATTATTCCAGTAGAAGTTTTATGTTCCAAACATCTCCAGCAGCACTGTTAGACCAACAGTCCTGGCTGAGCAATTAGGAAACCAGGAAGTTCTCAATAGACCTTTGCTCTTCCACTTGTTTCCTCCCAAGTTAATTGCTCATTTCAGATGTGCAGAATGCAGCTACCTGTTCTGCTCGACAGTGCTGACTCGTATTCATTTTCATATACAGCCCTTAAAACTCTGAACTGCAAAGCTTCCAAATGGTGGAAATTTTTCTTTCTTCCACTCTCACTAGCATTTTCAAAATAGGCACGTCTGGAGGTTTTGGACAAGCAATGGAGGACACCCTAAATTCTCCACAGCTTTAAGAAACACGATCATTGTCCAGTC